AGTGGCATTCTGTATCCTTCTTTGCCAAGAGGAATCGTATCAGTGTAATGGTGGACAATGACTTGACCTCATCTGCTCATGCCTCCATACCTCTACAAATTTATTCAGGAGATACTTTATATTTTGGAGGTGAATCATGCTATTTATTTATGTTGGCAATATCCCACAGTAAAACATTTTTTTTTCCTAATTTTTCCCGACTTACCTGATCAAATGTTGAAAGTTATTTGGCTTGCCTTAAGTCTTCTTTGCCTAGCTTGGTTATCTCTACATTTTTCAGGTGCTGCTCTGATGTTATCAAGCTTGAATTTCTTTTAAAATTATAATGTTGGGTAAAATAAATTACCATCTTAAATCCATTGTTTTCTGGTATAATGACAGTAGCTGACAATCAGACACAGAATCACAGGATCATCATGACTGGAAAGGACCTCTAAGATCATCAAGTCCAACAACCAACACACAAAACCACCCCCAAAAAACCCCACATAACCACAGCCTTGGTCACTGGAGCAGGTCCTGAAGCACCCTCTGGTCCTTTTCTCTTGGGCAGTTACCCAGCCATTCTGCCCCAAGCCTGTAGTTGCCTGGGGTTATTGTGACTGAAATGCAGGACCCAGCACTTGGACTTACTGAATGTCATACAGTTGGCCTCAGCCCATCAATACAGCCTGTCCAGGACTCTCTGCAGTGCATTCCTACCCTCTAGCAGACTGACACTTCGACCCAATTTGGTGTAATCTGCAAACTTACTGAGGGAGCACTCAATCCCCTCATGCATATCATTGATAAAGATATTGAAGAATACTGGCTCCAAAACGGAGCCCCAAGGGACACCATTGGTGACTGACCCCCAAGTAGATTTGATTCAGTTTTACTCTGGGCCTGGCCATCCAGTCAGTTTCTTACCCGGAGTACACTTGTCTATACCATGATTTGCCAGCTTCTCCAGGAGAATGCTATGGGGAATGGGGTCAAAAGCCTTACTAAAATCTAGGTAGACAACATCCACAGCCTTTACCTCATCCAACAGGCAGGGTACATGGTCACAGAAAGAGATCAGGTTTGCCAAGCAAGACCTCCCTTTCAATGCTGGCTGGCCCTGATCTTCTGGATGCCCTGCATTGCCATGTAAGTGCACTCAAGATGAGCCTCTCCATGATGTTTCCTGGTATTGAGGTCAGGCTGACATGTCTGTAATTTCTCAGATCCTCCTTCTGGCCCCTCTTGTAGGTGGACATCATATTAGCCAGCCTCCAGACATTTGGGACCTTCTCTGTTAGCAAGGACCGTCGATAAATGAGAGTGGCTTGGTGAGGTCCTTCTCCAGCTCCTTCAGTACTCTAGGGTGGATCCCACTTGGCCCCATAGACTTGTGTGTCTAGACATACAGTCTCAATTTCATTTTTTTTTTTTCATTGTGACACGACTTTCCTATGTTTGAAGATTATAATTTGTGTCTAAAAACTGTGTTCAGATATCTTAATTTCCTTAGGAATGTTTACAGTTATCTGTCACCAAGTGATTTTGTCATTAAGAACACATATTTTTACTGATAGGGTTGAGCAGTTTGTTATGAAACTAAATCTCTCACAAAGGGACTACGTAATACCAATGTTAAATACCATTTTAATTAATGATTCAGCACTACACTAATGTTTCATCTCTTAATAACATAGAAATACAAGATTGAACTATTTAATAACAATTCTGGAATTTCTGAGAAAATTGAAAATTATATACAAAACCTCAAATGAATAATGACAGAGTATAAAGATCAGCTCCTTTGAAACAATAAGTTGTAAATAAACTCATGCTCACAAGAATACAGTAACTATAGGAACACTGTGTGAGCATCCAGGCTCACATCTGACATCTAGCCTTCTCTCCTAAAGATACCTCTTGACTTGGCTGATAATCCACTAAAGATACAGGCTTTAAATAATCAGAAAACTGTTTTGTTTTTCTTTTCCTTCCATGTTGCTCTAGGTTTGTACACCTCTGTTAGGTGATTTACACTATTGCAGTGTTGATAGCACAGGTGAATAAATAAGGAGAGATGTGGGCACTCACAAATAGAAGCATACTTAAGTTTTATACCAGGAAATTTCTTTTTACCTTTTGGTGAGTGGAGCGTTCAAATTAACTCTAAGAACACTGAAAGTTCTAACTGCACATCAACCCCTCTACTTCTCTGATTTCATCTTTATAGCTAAAATCATCAGCTAGTGCATGTTGCACAAACTTGGGGAAAATTAGCAGGTTTCCAAGTTTAGAAAAAAAATAAAATGTTATATCATATATTACTGCCAAAATGAAGACAATGCATTTTCACTTTCTTTCTAAGATACATGAATATTTACTGTGATTCTATATGCTGATTGTTAAAACATGACTATTAACTTTCCAGGAGAGGTGTCCTGCAGATAAGGGGGTTATTTTGTTTATTTTAATGACTACAAACTATGCAAGAAATGTGTATGCTTAGCTAGGAAAATGTGTGATAAACATGAAAATACTTTAATATTCTGTCAACACAATTTCTTGTCATGTTACCATAAAGGAGAAACTACTTCTTTTTGCTTTTGGAATAATAACTCCTTGCAACTATAAGAGCAAAAAAAAAATACTGTTTATTATTGCAAAAGGCAAAGGATAAATTTCATTAATAAAGGACTTATTTATATATTTAGTATCTAATGTGCACTTTTAAAAAACGTATCTATATTAGATATGTGGTTGTACACTCATTTGAATAGATATATTAGTTTCCATCGTCATTTTGCTTTCTGCACTGTCTTTACAGGACTTCAGAAAGTACCCATTAGCTCTGAGAAATAGATAAACAAGATGGTCTTTGAACATTGTGAACCAGGGTGCAGTATTGTTTGACTAAGATGAAAGAGTAGCTCTTGTGTGTTATTCCAGAAGTAGTATTACCATTTATCACAGAATCAATCATAGAATCAAATAATTGTTTGGGTTGGAAGGGACCTTAAAAATCACCTAGTTCCAATTCCCTTGCATGGACAGGGGCATCTACCACTAAACCAGGTTGCTCAAAGCCCCATTCAGCATGACCTTGAACACCTCCAGGGAGGGAGCATCCACAACCCTGCACAAAGCCTCATCCTACCTGGCCTTGAACCCCCCCGGGGAGGGACCATCCACAACCTCCCTGGGCAACCTGCTCCACTGCCTCATCAGCTGCACAGCAAAGAGTTTCTTACTAATGTCTAACTTAAATCTACCCTCTCTCAGCTTAAAACCCTTTCCCCTTGATCTATCAATACACACCCTTGTAAAAAGTCCCTCCCCAACTTTCCTGTAGGTCCCCTTCAGGTACTGGAAGGCTGCTAGGAGCCTTCTCTTTTCCAGGCTGAACAGTACAAACTCTCTCAGCCTCTCTTCATAGGAGAGGTGCTCCATCCCTCTGATCAGTTTTGTGGCCCTCCTCTGGACTTGCTCCAAGAGCTCTGTGTCATTACTGTGTTGAGGGCTGTGGAACTGTATACAGTACTCCAGGTAGGGTGTCACCAGAACAGAGGGGCAGAATCACCTCCCCTGACCTGCTGGCCACATTTTTTTGATGCAGACCAGGACACCATTGGCCTTCTGGGCTGCAAGTGCACATTGCCAGCTCATGCTGAGCTTTTCATCAACCAACACATCCAAGTCCTTCTCCTCAGGGCTGCTCTCAATCCAAGCTCCACCCAACCTCTACTTGTTCTTGGGTCTGCCCCACTCCAGGTGCAGGACCTTGTACTTGGCCATATTGAACTTCACGATGTTGGCCTGGGCCCACCTCTCAAGCCTGTAAAGGTCCCTCTGGATGGCCTCCCATCCCTCCAGTGTATCAACCACACCACAGAGCTTGGTGTCATGAGCAAACTTGCTGAGGGTAGACTCGATCCCACAGACTATGTCGCTGACAAGAGATGTTAAACATCACCAGCCCCAGTACCAACCCCTGAAGAATGCCACTTGTCACAGGTGTCCATCTGGACATCGAGCCATTGATCACTACTGTTTGGGTGTGACCATCCAACCAATTTCTTATCCACCAAATGGTTCATCCATCAAATCCATATCCTTCCAGTTTTGAGACCAGGATTTCATGTGGAACAGTGTTGAATGCCTTGCACAATATCAGGCAGAAGTCAGTTGCTCTTCCCTTGTCCACTGATGCTCTGACCCTATCGTAAAAGGCCAGCAAATTTGTCAGGCATGATTGGTGAAGCTCTTGGTGAAGCCTTGTTGGTTGCCAACAACCACCTCCATGTTTTCCATGTGCTTTAGCAGAGCCTTCAGGACAATCTGCTCCATGATTTTGCCAGGCACAGAGGTGAGACTGACTGGTCTGTAGTTCCCTGGGTTTTCTTTCTTCCCCTTGCTGAAAATGGGAGTTAAGTTTCCCTTTTTCCAGTCAGTGGGAAGTTCACCAGACTGCCATAGTAATTTATGCGTGTATATATACATATATATACACACATACATGCAGATAATATTTTTGTATTGCTCTCCAAATTGCATGTGCCTCCTTCTGCCTTTTCTGTACTTTCTTTTTGTGTTTTTACTCACTCAGGAGCTCCACTTTTATGTTTGCAGGCCTTCTGCCACACTTACTTAAGTATCTTGATATTGCTATATGCTTATCTTCTTATGCTCCTAAGAGCTCTGTTGAAAGAATAACCAGCCCTTTTGCTGGATCCTGAACAAGTCCTGAACAGACCAACGCTGGCTCTTCTGAAGTCCTGGGCTGTAATTCTGCTTTTTTTTTGTTCTCTTCTCTGAATCATAAACTCCAGTCTCATGTTTGCTGTAACCAACAGTGTCTTTTGGCTTCAGTTTTTCAACCATTTCTTCCTTGTCTATCAGTAGCAGGTCCAAACAAGCATCCTAGCTGTCGCTGATGACCTGCATCAATAAGTTGCTTTCAGTATTTTCTGTAATATTTTGAACATACTGATAAATTAAATCAGTGTACCTAGAAAACTAGTTTTTGACATATTTGTCTTCAGTTGTGACTTAAAACTCGTCCAAATCATGTGGACCTTGTATTATAACCTAAGATCTCATGTCTAAGATCAGTAAATTCCATTCATTGCTCTGAAACTGTTGCTTGGGTTATCCTTTACCCAAATTCTTAGTGATGCTTTCTCATGTTTTTTAACAACAGTTAGAGTGCACAGAAGTATTTCTTTACAGCTTCAACACCATGTCTAATGAGAAAAGATTTAGTTAAATCTTCTACCCATAAAGTTTACAATATCTGGAGATTATCAAAGCTCAGTCTGTTTTTGGAATATAAACATTTTTCACCTTTTTTTTTTTTTTTTTTTTTTTTTTTAACCAGCTTCTATGCTTCTTTCAGGCTGCCCTAGTAGTGGAAACATTTCTGAATGTAATGCCTCATTTGGTGGCTTTCAAGGATGCATGCGACTCATTACTATTGATAACAAAACAGTGGATATGATCTCAGTTCAGCAAAATATTGTTGGAAATTTCAGTGACCTTCAGATAGATTTATGTGGCATTATAGACAGGTAAGAAAACAATATTTTTTCATGTATTTATTTATTGAATATTTTGTTTCCAATACTGACTTGATGACAAAGAACAGAACACTTACAAAAATTGCATGCTGCTTCTTTGGTAAGAAGTCAAAAGTCTAGAATAAGTACAGTGTACACAGCACAGCAGTTTTCATGCACTGCAAATAAAATTAGAGTAACTGTGGTTAAAATTATTTTATTATTCCAATTGATTTTAGTTACTTGACTTTCTTTTCAAGTAAAGCTATACACACAAATCCTCTCCTATATTATATAGCCCCATTCACCCTTTAAAATGCTATGTTCTTCACAAATTGTTGCTGCTTCCTATACTCTAGTCATTCAGAAAGACAGGAGATAGCACTTATCACTTTGAATGAGAAATCCTTTTAGGCTATAGTCAGAACTACTCTTATAATTTCCAACAGGTTTATATATTTATTTAGTTAGTTAGCTTTCGGGAAAGAGACAGAACCATTAACAGAATGTCAAAATAATGTAAAGTGGGGATCTGCATATTTTTTTTGTATGCAATTACTTAAATGGAATCTCAGCAAGATTGTAAGTGGAAAACATCACAAAATTGGCTCATAATTTGTTCCAGTTATGGTATGTGTTTTACTGTCAATTTTTCAATGTATGGTGTAACTAGGAACTTCTCAAAATGCTCATTTCAGAGCTGTGGTTTAGGAACCATCTCTTCCTCCATGAGTACAAAAGTGTTTTACCTAAATTTTTAAAGGAAATGGTACATTTTTACATGCATTGATTCCAGATCCTGTCAGCTTTTGAATGGTCATAGTACTTAAAAATGTGTAGCAACACTGTGAATCTCATTATATAGAAATCCAGAATTATTTGCTGTATTATATCTTATTCAGTGCAAGTTCAGTTTATTTAGAACTTCACTCTACCTTTTTGATTGCTATTTTGTTGCTTTTGAACATTCCTTCAAAGAGGTTAGATTTATATATAGACTTTCCTTGTATTTTTATCTTTCCAATTTTTATAGCATATGAAGAGAGTTATCATTACTTCATGTCAATGCCATTGCCACTTTGGGGTTTTTTGGGTTTTTTTTTTTTCAGTATGTACTTGCTTAAGTCATTTAAGCTTCCAAGCCACTTCCTTTTTAAAAATGCTTTTATTATTTTCTGTCACAATTAACTATTTTTTTGTTTCAATTTGGTTTGGGTTTTTTTTAGTTTGTGTTACTCTCATAGTTCATAAAAATTGTGTGTGGCTTCCCATGATCAATGATACAAAAAAAAATTAAAATAATGTTAATATGGAAAGTTTTTGTTTGATTTTGTTTTCCCTAAAATTTGCTAATGTTAATTTGAGTCTTATATATTGAAAATTGCACATTTCTTGCACTAGTTCTGTGAGATTTAGCTTTCAGCTCTCAGCCTGCATAACATATATCTTCCTAACTTCTCAAAAAAAAAAAAGTATCATCCATTGTTTTTAATACATTTCATTACACTTATCCTAATTTATATCAAAATAGATGTTTTTATAAAGTCTTCATGATCTTGTGCTAGGTTATTCTCGAAACTGTTTCTTCCCAGTTTCTTCACACTGCACCATTCCATTTGATATCTTAAGATTATCACCTGGAACAAGCGTGTTTCTCTCTATCAGACTTCTGTTGCATCACACCAAGTTGGTAGGATGCATCTTTCTTTGCCAACATTACAATTGCTTACATGTATTAAACAATTTCTAACAGGCACTTTGCATCATTTTGTGAACAGCATCATTTGAGAGAATACACTGTCTCTCTGTAATGATTTCTTGATGTCTTTCGTTGCCCTAAGCTAAATTAATAATCATTTTTGTCAATGTGGTCCTAATGGTAGATATCCCACTCACATCTGAGGGCAAACCAACCACTTCATCTTGGGGTCTTTATGGGAGTCTTTGCATCTGCAATTCAAAACTGGGAAACATGACACAAATTCTGGAGCTATTGATTGCTTCTGTAGTAGAAACAATGGATTACTGATTATAATAGCTTTAGACATTTAAAATGCATTAACATAAATAAAAAGTACTGCTTGCATAACTATCAGAATTTATACGCAATAGTAAATAAAAGGAAAGTAATTCTATTGAGTCCATTATTCACTTCACATACATATATATATACTGTGGTATGTGGATCATTGCTGGACGCCACATGCCCACTAAAGCTACTCTATCACTCCCCCTTCCACACTGAGCAGGGAGAGAGAAAATATATTGAAAAGCTTGTGATTCAAGATAAGGACAGGGAGGAAGCACTCAGCAAAAGGCAAAACAGGCAAAACAGACTCAACTTGGAGAAATTAGTTTAATTTATTACCAGTCAGATCAGAGAAGGGTAATGATAACTTAAGCCAGATCTTAAATCACTTGCCTCCACTCCTTCATTCTTCCTAGGCTTAACTTCACTCCCCATTTCTCTACCTCCTTTGCCACAGTGGCTCAAGGAGATGGGGAATGGAGGTTGCAGTCAGTTCGTCACATGTTGTTTCCGCTGCTCCTTCCTTCTCATGGAAAGGACTCTTCACAGTCTTCCCCTGCTCCGGTGTGGGGTTCCTCCCAAAGGAGACAGTCCTCCATTAATTTCTCCTATGTGAGTCCTTCCCATTGATTGCATTTCATGTATCCCCTCCATGGAGTGAAATCCTTCAGGAACTGACTGCATCAGCATGGGTTCCCCATGGAGCCACACATCCTGCCAGAAAACCCACTAAGTATGGACTCCTCTTTCCATGGGTGCACAAGTCCTGGCAGAAGTCTGTCCCCCTGCAGGTTCCCCATGGGGTTGCAGTCTCCTTTGAGCATCCACTTGCCCCAGCTTCATGGGCTGCAGGTGGTTATGTTCTCCATTATTAACTTCTATAGTCTTCACCACAGGCTGCAGGGCAATCTCCGTTCTGCCATCTGCATGCCCCTTCCTCCCCCTTCTTTACTGACCTTGGTATCTGCACTTCTCTTACATATTCTTTCTTCTCTCTCCAGCTGCAATTGCACTAATAATTTCTGTTTATTTGCTTCCCCCTTCTAAAATACATTATTACACAGGTGCTACCACCATCACTGATGGGCTTGGCCTTGGCCAACAGTAGGTCCATCATGGAGCTGGCTGGCATTGGCTCTGTAAGACAAAGGGGAAGCTTTCAATAGCTTCTCACAGAATCCAAACCTGTAGCCTCTTTGCTACCAAAGCCTTGCCACAGAAACTCAGTAAATATGTATATGTACTTAACACATATAAAGTAGATTTGTAGTGATCTGTAGTGCTCACTGACAGAAGGTTGATTAATCATTCATTTATTTGTTTGGTAATTTATTACCTTGTTCTTTTTACACAAAACAAACAAACCCCCCACTATCTTAGTATTTTCTGTTTTCTCTGTTCACTAAACTTTGCATTTCCTCCTCCAATGCTTAAATTATTATGATTCTTACCAGTCATTTTTATTCCCATGTTCCTTCATTTAGCCTTTTTCTCCATGAGGAGAGCGAACAGAGGCAGCGGCTACGACAAGCAGTCTGCCTTAACAGCAAACGTAACTGATTTAAGAGATACAGGGGACTTCCCGGAGCCAGGGAAGCCTGTTGGACAGACGGGAGACCGGAAGGGCTCAGCAGCTCTTTGAAGAGAGAGTGATGTGGCAGAAGGCATCGCTGGGGCAACCGCCTGGCATGTAAACATGGCCATACGGGGAAGCTTCCAGCTACCACTAGGGGAGTGAACAGGGGCAGTGCCCATGGCAGAGAGCAGCGAGAGGAAGGCATGTGGGAGAGACTGATAGGAGGCACTGGGGAGGGCAAGCGGGCAGGCAAGGCAGAATGGAAGATGGTCTCCACTCGTTCGAAGCCGCAGTTAAAACAACTTTGGAACCCAGACTGATCTGCCTCAGAGGCAAGCAGCTGTTCAGGGTGTCAGGCTGCATGGAGTGTCTGAGTCTGTGACTCTTGTAGGATGATAGCAAAGACAACATCTCTGCGCACTACAACCAGCTAATTGATCTGCTCAACCTGGTTGCTGGGCTTAAGCAGAAAGTGTAGAAGTTAAGGACCATGTGGGAATGTGAAAGGGAAATAGATTGGTGGAGCTGCACCCTGCTGTCCTTAGGGAAAAGGCAGCAGGTGGTAGCTTCACGAGACGTAGAAGATCCCCAGCCCTCTGGTCACCAGGAGGAAGGACAGGAACTCTGAGAGGATGGGGTGGGGGGGGATGGAAGCAGGTCCCTGCTAGGAGTAGCAGGAGAGTTCTCACTGGTCACTCCTCACATTTCCAGGTGCCCTTACAGAACAGATACAGGGCTCTGGAGATAGGGGACCAGTTAAACAGGGATGCTGAGAAAGCCCCATCCAGGAAGCTGCTGAAGCAGCCAGCTCAATGCAATAGGATTGCTTCCAAGAACTTGCCAAAGCAACCAGCTCCTCCTATTAAGACTGCTTCTGAGAAGAGCAAGAGGAGGGTGATAGTGATAGGTGATACCACTCTGAGGGGAACTGAAGGTCCCATATGCCAGCCAGACCCTTCCCACAGGGAAGTCTGCTGCCTCCCTGGAGCCAGGGTAAGGGATATAACCAGGAAACTTC